AAATATACAAAGCATATATAAAAAAGATTATACATTCAAATACAATTATTTTTACCATCCTCTTTAATTCTCTTCAACTTCTGAACTTTTTTCCATTTCAATTATGAATTATGTACTAAAAAACGTTTGTTGGCGTTAATTAGCATACATTATAATACAACTGATAATTCAGAAAAATCCAAAATAATGATTTGGCTATCATATATTAATTAAATGAAGACGTTTCATATCAACAATTCATAATCATATGTATACTATTAAAAAAATACATAGATTTATAATATAAAACAAATGTACGATAACGTTTAGTAGTACTAAACAGATCCTAATTCCATTTAATAAAAATATTTTATCGAATAAAACCACTACGATACTTAACTTAATAATAAAAATATGGATTTAACTTTTTTATGGAAAATGTGTTGTTTTTTATAATAACCACCAAGTTAATTACTTTCAACAACTACGCACGATTAGCCACTAAATACAACTAGTACGTACCCCGTGCGATGCACGGGACAAAAATATTAAATGAGTTATCTTCACAGTTTTTTCCGTTTAAGTCTAAAAAGTAATAGGGTTATTATGACATAATTTCAAAATTGGTCCTATAATTTGGCCATAGTCCAAAAAACCACCCCTATATTGACCACTTTCAAAATTGGTCCTATAATTTCAAAATTTAATCAAATTTGGTCCTTTTTATCCGGTACATTGATTAAAAAAATGAACAAATTTGATTAAATTCTGAAATTATAGGACAAATTTTAAAAGTGGTCAATATAGGGGTGATTTTTTAGACTGTGACCAAATTATAGGACCAATTTTAAAATTATCCCGGGTTATTATCTATTTTCTACCTCTTTTAATCAACGTTAAGTCTTAAAAACAATAGGGTTATAAGCTATTTCCACATCTTTTAACCAACATTGTTTTTTAGTCATAACATTAAATATGAGCATGTTAGAGCTAGCTTGTAAAATAATTAATATATTATTCACAAAAACATTTATATTAATAAAAATTTAATTTTACCATATAAATTTATCCATGATATAAGAGAAAGTAACAGTTCTACTTATTTTTGTTCACCATATAATATTTAAT